TACGCTAATCCTAGATCGGAAAGGAAAAGTCCCCGCGTCCGTACCAATGTACAGTCGCGTCTTGTACTTTCCGCAAAGCGTGGAAAAAGTATAGGCGTACATATTATCGTGATACCTACCTTGCCTATCTAACCTTAGAACTTGTCTACCCACGTACATAATAACTATTATTTGCATCACAAGGTACACTTACTGATACCTTCAATGCGCCGAGGCGCTCAGTCTTAATATACCCTTCTACCCATTTATTGAAATGCCATAACTGAAATCGCAACCGGATCCAAAGCCGCTTAGCGACGCTGGATCCTCTTTCGCATATTGCCTCGCGTCGCGTCCTCATCCAACCAACATTAACCCACCACGTATTCTAGATAAGCCTTTTACCAGTTGAGCCAAGATGGGTAAACTTATTCGTCTCGAGCTATTCAGTGCGTATTCTATCCTGTAAGGAGCTTTGAATATGCGACAAAAGCTAATAATATGAAGACTTCAAGTCCTACAAGGGTCATCATACCCTCCTCTTTGGCGACTCGTATTTTACCTCCATCATCGGCCCAAATGGATCAGGCAAATCCAATTCGTATGCCCTACCCCCTTCCGTTTTACAATCGACCTTTGCGCATCGCATATTAACTTAGCTCTGTAGTATGGACGCCATCTCCTTCGTCTTGGGTATCAAGTCGTCGCATCTACGTTCCGCCCACTTAAAAGATTTAGTATACCGCGGTCGAGTTCTTAAGACGTCCAAGATCAATGATGATGGTTCGGCCGCCGAGCCGACTACGAATGGACATACAAATGGACACGTTAACGGCGACGACAACGATAAGCCGAATCGCAGTGACCCCAAAACCGCTTGGGTTATGGCCGTATATGAGGATGATGCTGGCGATGAGCAACGATGGAAGCGCAGCATTACGAATCAGGGTTCGAGCGAATACCGTATCAACGACCGTGTCGTCACGGCTCAACAATATAACGAAGCCCTCGAAGCCGAGAATATTCTTATCAAGGCCCGGAACTTCCTCGTCTTTCAGGGCGATGTTGAAGCTATCGCGGCTCAGTCTCCCCAGGATTTAACTCGTCTAATTGAGCAAATTTCAGGCAGCTTGGAATATAAAGCCGAATACGAGAGACTCCAAAACGAAGCAGACCAGGCCGCCGAGAATTCCAATTTTCAGCTTCAGAGGCGGCGTGGTATCAATTCCGAAATCAAGCAATACCAGGAACAAAAACGCGAAGCTGAGAATTTTGAGAAGAAGACGGAAGAGCGCGATGCTTCCATCGTTACTCATATCCTCTGGAAGCTATACCATTTTCAGCAGGTTATGGATGATTCCAGTGCTAAGATCCAGGATCACCAGGAAAACCTCAAGGAGTTCCGGCGCAATGTCGAGTCGTTTGAAAGGAAGCTCGAAGCTGCTCGCAAGGAGCAGGCTGATGCCGCAAAGGAGGTCCATAGGGTAGAGCGACAAATCAAGCGACAAGAAAAGGAGATTGAGGAGAAGGAAAACAGTCTCGTTCCTATAGAAGAAAAAGTGCAGCAGACAAGTTCTCAGGCCGAAACAATCCGAACCCGGATCGAGGGCGTCAGGAAAGAACGCGATGAGCAGCGCAAATTGATCGCCAAGATCGAGAAGGACCTGGCCACGGTTCAAAAAGCACAGAAGCAATTCGAGGACCAATGGAAAGAGACGATGAAGAAGCAAGGAAAAGAGCTAAGCGATACCGACCGGAAGGAATACAACACTCTTCGGGCGCAAGCTTTAAATAAGTCTTCGGAAAATCAAGCCAAGTTGGAAAACCTCAATCGACAGCTAAAAACCGATGAAGTCACCGTAAACAGCCTGAAGGGCAAGGTTGACGGCTATCAAGCTGCCGTAGAAAAGCTAGAGACCGAGCTGGCAGCTATCCAAGAGCGAAAACGCACCACCGAAGCTACTGTAAAGCAGCTCTCTAGCGAGATGGACGCTAAGAAGAAGGAATTCAACCAGATTCAGTCAGAAAGGGTCAGGACTAACCAGAGACGAACTGAACTGGACGAGAAGCTTCAAGACGTCTTACGGAAATTATTAGAAGCAGACGATGGGAGGCGTCAAAATGACAAGGAGGCGCGAATAAAAGAGATGGTCACTTCTCTAAAGCGTATCTACCCAGGTGTCAAGGGGAGGGTTGGCGAGCTATGCAAACCGAAACAAAAGAAGTTCGATGAAGCCGTCATTACAGCACTCGGGCGCGATTTTGACTCTATTATTGTCGACAGTGAGAAAACCGGTGTCGAGTGTGTGCAGTATTTGAAAGACCAACGTTTCCCGCCGATGACTTTTATCCCATTAGACAATATTAAGGTCAACGCGGTGAATACCGCTGTCAAAGGTATTTCCGGTGCTCGCTTGACGATCGACGCCATCGATTTTGACTCGTCCCTCGAGCGTGCCATGTCCTACGCTTGCGGCGGCTCGATTGTCTGCGATACACTGGATATTGCGAAGCATGTTTGCTACGAACGCAGGATTCAAGTCAAGGCCGTAACCTTGGAAGGCTTCGTTATCCACAAGGCGGGCTTGATGACCGGTGGTCGGGTCCAGGAGAATAAGGGAAACAAACGCCGTTTCGAAGAACATGACGTTCAAAATCTACAGAAGATGGCGGATAAATTTCGTGATGAAATCGAGAAGATACCCAGGGCCGATCGACGTGGCGTAGCAGAGGAGTCATTACAGAACGAGCTCGCGGGGCTTGATCAACGGTTAGCGTTTGCTAACAGTGAACTGGCTGCTTTCAACCAAAATCTTACCAGCAAGAAAAAGGAGCTGGAACACGTCAAGCGCCAACTTAAGGAGTGGCAGCCCAAGTTCAAGGATGAAGACAACAATTTACAGAAAACTAAAGCGTCAGTCGAGAAGTTCAAGTCTGCAATCGCCGAGGTGGAAGACAAGATCTTCGCTGATTTCTGCAAACGGCTCGGGTATTCTGACATACGAGCCTATGAAGCACAGCAAGGTAGCCTTGAACAAGAGGCTGATGAGAAGCGCACACAGTTTGACCTCCAAAGATCAAGACTTGAAAGCAATAAGAGCTGGGAGACATCAAGATACAAGGATACCGAGAGCAGACTTCACAACCTTGAGGTCCGCCTTAAGCAGTTGTCCGAAGATATCAAATCCTATCGAGCGGAGAAGAAGGCGATCGAGGAAGCGATGAGCAACGACCAGGATAACCTCGAAGCCCTACAGGAGCAGCTGGATGAATACAAAGCTGAGCTTACCAAACGCACCGAGAAAGTCAACGCAGCTAAGGCGGAAGTGCAAAAGAGAAGCAAGGATATCGAAAGTAGACAAAAAGCAATTAGTGCTCTAGAGACGGAGGTTCAGAAGAACAGTGCTGGGAAGTTTGCTCTATTAAGACGATGTCGATTGGAGCAGATAAATGTCCCCCTAATTTCAGGATCACTTGACAATCTTCCAAACGAAGACAACCTCTTACACCAAGACCCAGACGCTATGGACGTAGATGACGGCGATGACGCCGAGATGATGGATAACGCTATGGATGATCACGGTATCGAAGTTGACTTCGACCAGTTGGATGATGATCTGAAGAATGTAAGTTGGTGATCAAGACTTAACAAGGGTAGACGCTAACTTAGACAGCCCGACGACGAGGGTATAGAGGAGAAGTTACAAGAGAAGATATCATCTCTTACCGCAGAGTTGGAAAAGCTAAACCCCAATATGCGAGCAATAGAACGCCTGGAAGTTGTTGAAGCGCGGCTCAAGGCCACAGAAAGGGATTACAACGAGTCAAAAGCAGCGTTCGAAGCTGCAAAGGATGCCTTCGACGAGATTAAAGCGAAACGCTTCGAGTTGTTCAATAAGGCGTTCGTACACATCCGGGAGCAGATCGAGCACGTCTATAAGGACCTCACGCGATCGGAACAGTACCCCCTCGGCGGACAGGCCTATCTAGACATCGAAGAAGACACGGACCGGCCGTACCTGTCGGGCATCAAGTACCACGCGATGCCGCCGCTGAAGCGCTTCCGCGATATGGAGCACCTGTCCGGTGGCGAGAAGACCATGGCTGCCCTCGCCCTGCTCTTTGCCATCCACTCCTACCAGCCCTCTCCCTTCTTCGTCCTCGACGAAGTCGATGCCGCCCTCGATAACGCCAACGTCGACAAGATCAAGAACTACATCCGCGAGCACGCCGGCCCTGGAATGCAGTTTATCGTTATCAGTCTCAAGACGGGTCTCTTCCAGGATAGCGAGAGTCTGGTGGGCGTATATAGGGACCAAGAGGTGAATAGCTCAAGGACGCTGACCTTAGATGTAAGTTTTTTTTTCTTCTTCCTCTTTGCTTTTAACCCTGCCTTTTACCTTCCCCCCTCGCCTCTGCCTTCCCTGGCTTTGTATAGTTTATATTGTGCTAACGTCTCGTTCTAGCTACGTAAATACGTATAGTATCTAAGTTAGTTTTTTAAGAAAGAGATTTTCATAGGAGAGGGATGTCACGAGGGACGGATTCACGAATGACTAGGTAGTAATGGGTGGTGGTTCGTGTTAGCATGGATGGCGAGCCTCGAATCATAGCTAGGGGCTTTGCTGAAGCGTTGTTGTGTTGAACATACCCTTAACAAGATCCCAAACACCCTATTTGTACTATACGTATTCCTTCGGAACGGTGTAGATATGTATCGTATCGTTTACATGGTATCACCTGAGCCTTTTTATTCCACGTCTGCAGCGGATTCTAGAAATCCAAATGTAATTGTTTGCTATCCATTTTTGGACGCCTCGCCCATGCATATCTGTCTAGTGGGGATTTTTTTTTTTTTAAAAAAAAACCTCGAAATCAAAAAAGACAATACGCTATGCCTTCCTATACATATATACTTAGGGTATCGTAACCGCAAGGAAGCACTCCTATATGCTTCTCGTGTTCTCCCTTCCTTTACCCTAATACCCGCAAACCAACACATAAAATCTTATTAGTTTTGCTTAGACATCCTCGAATTGCATCTCATCGTCATCCTCGCTTTCACCGCCGTTGGTTGGCTCCGCTAGCTTCACCTTTTTCGAAGGCCTATCTTCCGAAGTGGGAGTATCCGCAGCACTAGTGGGACCACTCGACGCGAGGCGCTTCTCGCCGGTAGAGCTGATGTTCGCAGAAATTTCCACGAACTCTTCATCCTCACTTTCATCTTCTTCGCCTTCCTCATCATCTTCCTCAGCTTCTTTCTCAGCTTTACGCCTTGCTTCCTCGGCTTGAGACTTCTGTAACGTCTTGAATAGCTCCTCCATGGCTTTATCGTGGTTAGCGTCACCGACCGACTCGTCTGGCATTTTAACGCTGTCGTCGTCCGTCTTAACTGCCGAGGTTGGGTTGGAACCTCCGGCAAACGATAGACCAGAGACAGTGCTTCGGGTATGCCACTCCGGCAACGCGTTCATCTGAGCAACCTCCTCTTTGCGGGCGCGTTCAGCTTCCTTCTCGGCTTCGGTAGGACCATCCGTGTCCGTAATGCTAATCGCAATACTCTGTGGACCAGTATTCGCCATACCCTTGACAGCGGTTGGTTTCCCGAGAGATTCGACGGCGATCGAAGGAGCGACCCTGTTAGCTTCATCGCGGTAGACAGGAGCGGCTTGAGAATATAGAGTCTCAAAATCGGCGTCGGGAATAGTGACAGTATCGAGCTTTGGCAGGACTTCGATGATGAATTTAATCTGACTGTTTAGTCGAGTAGAGAGTTCGTGGCCACCAGCCTCGCGATCGGGGTCAAAGACTAGGACTGTGTTGCAGCGGTGACATAGAAAGCCTCGGACAGGATCGTTATTGTCAACAACATCGAGCATAGTCCACTCGGCCTTGCAAAGAGGACAAAAGTATTCCTTCTTCTCCTGCTGGGGGGTGGATTCGCCTTGAACTTTTTTGTCGAGTAGAAAAGTTCTATACTTGATAGCATCGACGGCTTGGCGATAATCGATGTAATAGTATGTGCGATTTCGTGGCTTCTCTTTGTCTTTCTCGAGCTCAGGTCTCATATGGCTATGACAATAGCAATTAGTTCAATATGTGTTAACGAATAAAGTCCAATAAAGGTAGCCGTACATCTGCAATAAGTGATCTTCCTTTAGCTTGCCGCAAACCCTGTGCAAATCTTTCCCGTTGAGGTGGACTAAGTAAGACAAGTCGTCGTCGCGCAAAGTCGTATGGCGGACCAATGCATCAATGATGATAATCATTCTTCGATCCTCGGGGTTGGTATAGAAAGCGCGTACGACAGAGCGCACCAGGGTCTGTACCATATCCATGATGATGGAAGATGCTGGGGAAAAAGGCGCCAAAGGTAGGTAGAAGTGTCGTTAGATTATTAGATTGCGACAGAAAAGTTGAAGCTGAATGCGATAATATGCGAATACGGGGACGTGGAGGATAAAAAGAATAAAATTAGTAGTAGAGGGACGGGTAAGTAGCAGACAAAGCCACTCAAAAAATGATAGTGAATGTAGTTTCCATCATTTGTCAGTTATTGACAGTTATTGGCAGTTACTGACAGTTATTGACTTGTAGGAAGTTGGCGGTGGTGGAATATCTGTAAGGACAAAGCGAGAGGCAACATGCGATGTTCCGTGCGAAGGCTCCGTCGGATATTCCGCTTAAGGAAGACGACTATTACAAATTGGCATGCTGGATTAGAATTAAACCTGGCTTACCAACCAACCAGTCCAGCTTGTAGGATTTGAATTAGGAATTGGGAAATCCTAATGGTCGTTCCGCGTTTCGCGTTGCGCGTTTCTGCGATGTCGAACGGCCTCGAGCGATTGGCGAAGTTGAAGAAAGTCTAATACCTTAGGTACATATCCAAATGTTCCAAATGTTTGGCTTGACGGATATTACCTAAGAGGTACCTTAGGTATCCTAGCCTTAGATATTCTAGGGCGTCATTTCTCGGACCATCTCTTTATCCGATTCCGCTATTCTTCTATCGTAACGGTAACTCGAATTATTTAGCTGACGTCACATGCCACTAGGTACTAAATGTACATTCAAGTAACCTAGGTACCTTAGGTACATTTGTAAATGGGAAGGCACTACCAGCAATCTACATGTAATTTGTAGAAGATATTTATAAGAATTGTAAACCGAATAACACGTGATGACGTCTCCTCGGGTACAACGGAGTTCTGCAAACAATCTCTAAAGGCAAAAGGTTAACGAGGATAAGGTTGACACCAGTATATACACTCGGAATATTTACTCAGGAGGCGCACCTCTACAATTACATCTCTCCAATATCACCACAGAGGCTATGTTAAATAAAGACATGTAGCTAAGACATGTATAAACAACTTGAATATCGCCAGAAGGCTATTTCGCCAAATATCATCATAAGAACGTTAAAAACAAGACGTAAATAAAATGTCTCTCAACTTCCCGCCTATCTATCTATTACCTACTCACATCGAACCCGACGAGTTGCCAAGGCTGCAGAGTAAAATACCAACTTTGACTCATGACATCGATAAGTCTAATATCACCCTGGGCAAGATATCTAATAAGGAAAGGGCGAAGTTCGAACTGAGGCGCAGAAGCATCCTGACTGAAGATATAAACTTATCCCCTGTCCCACTCTTTATTCCAGAGACGCAGGCAGATGACCCATCTCCGCCACCGAAGCGAAGGAAGCTCTCAAGCTCGGTCTCTCCTAAAATCACGCGTGATTGTAGACAGACAACTGGATCCGAAGGAGAGAGCCTTGATGACGGCGGAAGTACTTTTAGCAGGGCCAGTTGGGAAAACCAGGGGTTAGGAAATACTGCAGACGAAGATGACAACTCTATCGTCAGAGTTGTGAAACTATCCTGGTTCATGGATTGCTTGGCTCAGGACAATATACTCCCAATAGATAAGTATTTGATATATCAAGGTCACAGAATACAAAATATATCCAACAAACCTCCGCCAAACCCTGATGATGTCCTTAGACGCGCTCGACAAGAAGGTAGAGACGACAGCTCTACAGCAGGAGGAGGCTTTTCACATGCATATACTTCTACCTCGCAGCATTTCAGAACATCTGCTCATGAAAAGCGCCCTGAGTTGGTCCACGAGTCGACGTCGGAGCATGAGCGTCGCTCACACATGCCGCCGATTCCGGACTACTTACACACAACATACTCTTGCCAGCGTCCAACTCCTATAAGCCCCCCTAACGACTCTTTTATCGACGAGTTAGAAAATATTCGGACGCTTAGAACTCTCGAGGGTGACAAGATAGGCATCAGAGCCTACTCTACAAGTATCGCCTCTTTGTCAGCTTACCCCTATCTCATTTCGTACCCAGCTGGTAAGTGCTCAAATAGTCCTTAATGTAGCACGAACTTATCTGATTTCGATTCCAGAAGTGGCCAGACTGCCTGGTTGTGGCGATAAGATTGCCACGCTCTATCAACAATGGAAAGCGAATGGCTATTTAGAAGAGGTTGAAGAGGCAAAGAAGGATCCGAAAATGTCCGCACTACAATTATTCTACAACATATGGGGCGTCGCAGACACTACTGCTCGCGAGTTCTATAAGAAAGGATGGCGAGATCTCGACGACATAGTTGAATACGGGTGGGATAGTCTAAGTAGAGTTCAACAGATCGGTATCAAGTACTACGACGAACTACAGAAGAAATTACCTTGTCGTGAAGTTGAGGAAATCGGGCGGGTTATACTGAACCACGCTAATAAGATTCGTAGGGGTTTCGAGATGGTTATCGTCGGAGGCTATAGAAGGGGTAAAAGGGAAAGCAGCGATGTTGATGTTATCCTCAGCCATCCCGATGCGGTCGCCACCTTTAACTTTGTCGTGGCTATTGTCAATAGTCTTGAGAAGGATAAACATATAACTCACACGCTCATTATGAGCACCAAGAATAGCGAGCGTGGGCAGACTCCAGTGCCATGGAAGGGACAGGACCGTAAGGCAGGCGCCGGATTCGATACCCTGGATAAAGCCCTAGTGGTGTGGCAGGATCCGTACTGGGACAAGACCGTATCATCCAAGAACCCGAACCCTCATCGGAGAGTCGACATCATTATCAGTCCATGGAAGACAGCGGGCTGTGCCGTAGTTGGTTGGACGGGAGGCACGACCTTTCAACGGGACCTACGGAGATACTGCAAGCATGTAAAGGCTCTCAAGTTCGATAGTAGCGGCATACGGAGTCAGACAGACGGAAGTTGGGTAGATCTCGAAAGCGATGCACACGGATCGGCTCCAGATCTGCTTACGGCCGAGAAACGGGTTTTTGAGGGTCTTGGACTGGAATGGCGTCCGCCGGAGGAAAGGTGTACGCGATGATTACATTAATAGTCCTCATTTTCTTCACGCTATAGCTACGAGATTACCTAAAATACTCTATTAACACGACCCGGGGCCCTTAAAATTATATTGCGTCTAGGATTATCGATACGATCCCAAAGTTTATCAAGCCAAAAAGGGATGGGATTTGGAGTTTTATTGCTCCTGAGGGCGATAGATATTTACAACATCTACTCCATTATCCATCCATTCAACTCCTTAAAAGTAACAAGGGAAGTTTAATAAGATACATATTAAACATGATATGTTAAGTCGATTTAGTACTCTGTTAGTAAGAATAAATAAAAAGAAGGATAAGTTTTGCTGTACTTAATTAATAACAGCAATGTCATTTTTAAAGGACATTTTATTATGGACGATCTTGTCTTGCTTCCCCTATTCGGATCTTTGTAGGATTGCATAAAAAAGTAAGAAGAACAAAAAGAAAAAAAGAAAAAAGGAAGGAATACAAAAAAAAGCAGGCTCCAAAGTTCGAACTGCGCACACTTGCCAGACAAGCAGGCCTTCCATGCCGCCCTGCCGCTGGTTCGAACCCGGAACCTTCGAAAAACACCGCGAAGGCATTTTATCTACGCCGTCTTCCCTTCAGACCACTAGGCCACGGCCTTTTTGGCTTCGTGTCTTCAGGTCAGGAGTGATGGAGGGGCTGTTAATGCGTCTTATAAGTTTGCTTTGGGTACATGTAGTTATGTATCTGGCTGCCTGGAGACTGCGTTGCTATGGAGGTACCTGAGGTAAACAAACACATGTTTACATGAACTGTAGATAGATATGTACCTACTTTATTTGATGTGCTATTAGGTACCTACCTATCTAGATGAATATTATACATCCTATGGAAACAAAACAAGAGGATCTAGTGTACCCGTACGCCTATCTACCATATCTACTTCTCAAATAGTTAATCGTCTTATTTTATATACATACTCGTCCTCAGCCATGCACGATAATATAATGGTCGTGATGGTGCTCTGCATTCAGCTTCGTAACCAGCCCCCATAAACTATCCTCTACCATCGTCACCTTTCTCCCCCCCCCCCTTTTTTTTTTTAGCCCATCACAACTTAGACTCAGGCCTGCTTCTCCTATCGTCACTACCAGACCTCTCCAGTATCCAATCCCCCACATCTTGATAGAACTCCTCCTTCCCGGGATCAGCGTGTAACTGGTGCGCCCAACCCTCGTACGACTTAAACTTCCCATCCTCCACCGTCTTCCCCTGCCGCTCCCACCACTCCCGCACGCGGTCATAACTCGTCACCATATCCGCGGTGCCGTGTGTCAGGAACACAGCGCGCACGCGCGGCCGCAGCCGCAGCCTCCCCGACGCCAGCGCCTCGGCGCGGTCAATCATGCCAACCAGCCCCTCCAGCGTGCCCGTGTAGTGCAGCAGCGGGTCCGCCGCCAGACTCTCCTGCACCGCCGGGTCGCGACACAGATGCGCCGGCGGCACCGGCCGCATGAGCGTGAAGTTGGGCACGACGCGCGCCGCCAGACGTCCCGACGCGATCGTCAGCCGGTTCGGCTGGACCGCCGGCGCAAACCCCAGGAACGGCGCCTCGAGGATCCACCCGCGCACGCGGGCCACCACGTCGTCGAACGCGGGTGTGCTGGCCAGAGCGAGGATCTCGCCGCCGCCCATGGAGTGGCCGAGCACGAACACCGGGACCGCCTCGTCTGCAGGGGCAGAGGAGGAGGAAGGCGGGCTCAACGCTTTCTCGCGGATGAAGGCCGCGAGATCCGCTAGCACGGTGCCCGTGGGCCCGGTGCGTCCGCGGTCCGCGGCGCGGCGCACGCTTTTGCCCCAGCCGCGCTGGTCGAAGCCCAGGACGGCGATGCCGCGGCGCGCTAGGGACGGGAAGAGCTCGTAGTACCGGTCGATGTGGTCGCTGAACCCGTGGACGGCGACGAGTTTTGCTCTGGGCGGGCTGGAGGGCTGGGGAGTGTTAGTTTTTCGGTTGCTTAGGTATATATGTATGAGTTATGTATAAGAGACTGTTAGGGACATACGAGCCAGGACTTGGTGTGTAGGCTTACGCCGTCGACCTCGAATGTGCCCTCGACAATATTGATATCTCCCATTTTGGGCTGTGAGAGGTGGCGAGAGGGCAATTAGGGTTTATGATATAACCTGAGTGCAGATCAACGAAAGTGAAGAATGTAGTACCCGTCTATGTCTGTCATGTGTCGTTGAGCGGTTTGGTACTTGAGGTAGATCTAAGCTCTAAGTTGGAATGAGATGAAGCTTTGAGAGTAGCTTTTGTACCTAGTTGCGAGGCAGCTGGGAGCTATGTAAGCAGAGTCGTATAAACGATACAGCTATAAACGATACAGCTATTGATTGGTCAAGGAGCGGCTCATATAATAAGGATACATGTAAGTAGGAATATGTTTAGTTACACAGTATGCTTGTATTGATGACGGGGTCGTATTCCCTCGAATAGGATGTGACCCAATCAGCGTTTCTACATTGGGAAGCTCACCGAGGTAAAGGCACAAAAGTAGTAGCCAATTCCAGAGGCTTGTAAGTTCAATTAGGCGTTTGAGACATGTGAAATATAGTGGGGTAATGGGGTATTGGGGTAATGCACCCGGGCACTAGGTACCACTATTATACAATGACTACCTAGGTTAGGTAGTTATTAGGTAATTCAATATAAGCCTTTTAACTAATAGTATAACTTCTTTTTATCTTATACTAATGTTTGGGTTAAACAGGATAGGCGTAAATATACATCCCTTGATATCCCATTAGCTTTTCCATGGAACCCTTACACTTATAGTCTCAAGAACTAAATGCCTAAGCATCCCGATGATAACCAACAGCTTCTCTATCCTCTTTTTCGACGTGCCCCAAGTATTCATATAAGCTTGCGCTTAACTCGGCTCGACTGTAACAGGTTCACCGGTAGTATACTGCACATGGCGATCATTTGAACACTGAAGAAGGCCGCATTACGCGACGGATTCGGCGGCACGTGGAGTTGACGGCGACCCACAATGGGTAGTCAGAGCGGGTAGTTAGTTGCCCAGTTAGATCCGGTAGATAACTCGAGGATGAGTAGTGGTTAGTGTGAGTTTTAGGTTTAGATAGTATCGAAGCGGTTGTTTTCAGCTACCTACATAGGTATGTAGTCGACTGTTCTGGTACCTATGTACATGTAACTGGGTAACACCGCAGAGTTGTACCTCTCTAAAAATAAATGCTGGTAACACAAAACCACGACACATGCTAAAGGCGGAGCTGTATGATAGAAAGAGATGTAAGATTGAACAACCAAACGGTCGCTGGAACTATGTCATCTACTACAATTGATATCAGAGTTACCAAATCGTCTTTGAATTATAACGCATAGCATGTAAGATTAATTGAGCAAATCCGATTAGGAATAATCGTTAGTATTTGGTGCATCCGCACTTAAGTAAGTGGTTTAGGCCTATGCATGATGTAATGGTATGGGGGTGCATGTGACGCCGTCCCAAGCTAAGTGAAAGACCGGCCGCCAATAAAATGCTCTTGCAACACCAACTCGTTGTGTTACGCTAGATTCCAAGGGCTCTTTCTCAGCTTCCATTTTATTGGGTTCTGAGTTCTCAGTTTGTGGAAGACTGAAGGTGCACCCGAGCTGAGTAATGTTAGTTTTGCTTGAATCAAAACAAGCCAAATAACACTGTACTACCATAATCCAAACTTTCACTCCTATAAGACTAACCTCGTTCCTCGTCGCCGTCTGAAGGTAACCTTCGGAGAGTACTTACCTAATATATGTAAATAACCTACCACCTCGAATCCCTATATACTACACCTTAACACCTTTGAGAATGCCTCGTCCGTGGGAATTTAACGAAGAGGGCCCTGAGCCGGAAGAGGAGCGACGAACCCTGCTCCGAGAAGGCAAGGAAAAAGCGCAGCGCTTCTTTTCCGAATTCATCGACTTCGCTTTCTCGGGCAACATCCTTGAAATTGCATTCGGTTTGATGTCAATGAGCCCGCCTAGAGCTTGGGGCGGCGGACCACTGACTCTCGTCTCTGCAGCCTAGCAACGGCATTTACAGCCGTCACTACCTCGCTCGTGAGCGATATACTTCTTCCTCCACTCTCCATCATCCTCCCGCTACGAAGAAACATAGGCGAGAAGTTCGCGGTGTTGAGACCAGGGCCGAATTACAACGACCAAGATGGCTACAACACCCTATACCAGGCGCAGAGCGATGGAGCCGTCATTCTAGCTTATGGGTATGGATGGTCAAACGCCTTCGTTGTTGACAACAGGTTCCCAATAATTAACTTTGTCAACCAGTGTATTTCTCAACAAGGTCATCAATTTCCTAGGCGTAGGCCTAGCCTTGTACGGCCTAGGAAGCTTGTACCAGTGCCTGTCGCACGATCCTATCATTAAGCATACCGTCAAGTGTCGATACTGCAAAAAGAAGATTAGCTCAAAGGTATGTGATTTTGACCCTGAGGTAGCTAGCTACTGGGGACTGATGGGTCTGCCTGATCTAGGCAATCCGATGTGTGAATTGCACTAGCTGGCTCGATGGGCGAGAAGAGCGGATGCGATAGACGACCCATAGTTACGAGTTGCTTATCGGAAATACTGGGTGAATATCGTGTTTCCGGTCAGTACCTAATGCCTCGAATCTAACTCCTTTTTCGGGATGTAACTATTCTAAGTGTTGGGTATTCTTTTTTTAGAGAATATCTCATATAAACACTTTGATAGGCTTTAGATCGCTTGAGTTAGCATGTTCGATCCGATCATTCTCGTCATTGGGCTTCGGTGTTGGCGTAGATTGGCGTAGATCGGCGCAGAGCACCAGTGAAGTTGGAGGAAACGTCACAAGGGGAAATCCGGTTTCAGGGAGGGGGTATGGCGTATGTTGGGAGAGTGTTTGCTAGTACTTCGCTAGTACTTCTTATCCTTCTCGAGATATCGTTGAATGGAATTATTGGCTGTAATCAAAGACTCCTTGATTAATAGTGATCGCAATTGTTGTAATTATGAAATTCACTTTGTGAGGACTAAAGTTGAGGGCGCAGCTCATCCCAAAGTTATCCTTGACCATCAACCCAAAGTCTAACCCAATCAGGCATATGTGGATCATTTTACACCATAATAGTACTAGCGCACCCAAAACTCAACTACCATTTCACTAACATTATATTTATATAAATATACGCTTTTATACAGCATTATAAAACTTAATGAAATATAAATAAATTTAATATAATCGATTGATAATTAATTATTAATCGATTATTAATTAATATTTATTTTTATTTTTTTAATATAAAATATTTATTTTAAAATAAATAAAAGATAAAAAATAAGTAAGCGTACACTTAATCAATTCTTAATCGATTAGAAATTAATTAGATAAAACGCGCTATAATATAAGGAATTTAGTGGTTATAATGCGCTGTACTTACAGGGCATTTAACCTTATTTTAGCGATTAAAAACGCCAAAAGCTCACCCCAAAGCGGACCCCGTCAAATGCAACCAATCAGAATGTTGGATCCAAGGTCCCAGCTTTTTCCAAATCGGGTTAGACTTTGGGTTGATGGTCAAGGATGACTTTGGGATAAGGTGTAGACTCGACTAAAGTTCAAACCGGAAAGTTGAAGATATCTTGTATAGTTACCTAGGTTAGGTATATGCCGCAAAGGAGGTATGCACTAATGAAGTAAAGCGTTGATCAGATAAGGCCGATAAGCCATTTTACTACTACATAGGTATCTGCATATCTGCATATGTAGTACCGATGTAGAGTTACAGCCAGGTTTTAATCCCTGGAACCAACCCGCGATGTATGATGTCATTGTTATAGCAACGTGGTTAGGGGCAATATAATGTCCTCTAGCTTGTGCTAAACGCCTTTTAATACTAGAATGCCCCGAGTCAGATCTGACTTTTCGCGTACTAAAGTTTGATGGACGCGTTATAACCGTTTCTAAAGACTTATAATGTCTAATGAGCCTCATGTTGAGCTTCACGACTTAGAACGATCAGCGACAGAGACGGCAGCTCTACAGTCGCAACAGCAACAGCAACAGCAGCAGCGGCGCGAATATCAGGATAATGGACGCCGTCGTTCGAGTTCTGACCCTATATGTCAAGGCCATCAGCGGCCAGGCTTAGCAATTATACGACCTCGTGGAGGAACAAATGGCTCTCGTATGCCCCCAATTGCTGAACATACGAGACCGACTAGTACAGCCCTTTTCCACACGCCGAACGGCCGTACCGAACTCGACGAAAATATCGCCGACCTACTCGATGTAATAGGTAAGTGCTTTTTATAAAGCAGTCATAAAATATTCGAACATAGAACTGACCACTTAATCAGATCCCGAAGTGTCTACGTTCAACAATGTGACCAACATACAAAACTCTCTCTTTGTGCCATCCCTCGGTAGATTTATCAACCGGCGGCCAACATATCAACTTTCAATAGCACCCAGACATGAGACTATTCGAGAGGAGAAAGATAAAGAGGAAGAAGGGTTTAACTTTGACCATGCCGTTCTCCCTGATGGGGTATTCTTAGACGGGTGGACTGATGAGGAAAAGGATGAGCTCAATGACTACGTGCGCCATATGTTACATTCACGACGTTCCCGGTTTAAGCGTAGCATGAAGGCTTTTGGACAGTACGTCAGGAAGCCCCTTGGATTTTTCGTGACGCTGTACGCGACTCTTATTACGCTCTTCGGCTTGGCTTGGGTACTGTTCTTGATTGGTTGGATCTACGTCGGAGAAGAGCAGGTTTACGCCATCAACATCATCGATTACGTCCTGGTCGCTCTCTTCGGTCTCGTTGGTGACGGCTTGGCACCTTTTCGTGCTATAGACACCTACCACATGGCTTACATAGCGCACTACCATCGCCTAACATGGAAGCTACGCAGAAAAAAGCGCATGGGGAACTTACGCGACAAGAACGACTTGCCGACGAATTCGGATCTGGAGGCGGCGCGTGATGAGTTATCGGTCCTGTCGCCGCAGCAGGAAGCGCGGCTCGTACACCACCAGACGAAGTTTGCTAAATCGCATACTTTCTACAAGCCACACGAGACCAAGACGCACTACGCATTTCCCCTGAACTGGCTGGTAGCAATCGTCACGCTGCTCGATATACACTCATGCCTACAGATCGCGCTGGGAGCGACGACATGGGGCATCGATTATAACGTACGGCCGATGGCGGTGACAGCGACGATCCTGAGCTGTTCCATCGCGGTGAACATCACGGCTGGCATCCTAATCAGCATCGGGGGACGACGGACGCGCAAGAAGGACGTGGTGGAGCGCATGTTCCGACAGGACCTAACGCGCGAGGCGTTCGACAAGATCCGCGCGCGCGGCAAGAAACACGGCGACACCGAGAAGCAGCTCAAAGCCGAGCGTGCGCTCGAGCAGGGCCGCAAGAGCGAGGCGAACGACGACGCGGCGAGCGAGGAGATACGTGGCGTTCCGATAGAGAATACCAAGACGGAGGACGAGAGGGAGATATACCCAGACGCGCGGTGATCTTGGAATAGACGTGGATAATGTCTAATGATCTGGTTTCTTTTATTCTTGGCGGAGGAAAATGCATACATACCCAGGGAATATACATGGTTTTTTTTTGTAGTTGCTAAAACTCGCTAGTTATTAGAAAGTCGTATGATAATATTGAAATGCTTTATCATCACATCTAGTCTGATCTTGCAGCCCCGAATCGTGCTAATCTGGTAAAGTTGAGTTCGTAGTAACGGATGGAGTCTTTTAACTGAAGGATTTCCCTTTTCCCCCTTAACCCCTTCTTATGGTGGGCCTATCTTTGGAGAGGTAAGGGGCTTCAATAAGTGGGCATTCAATCTCGATTCCTCTGGTGAACGACTTAACCTAGTATAGTATAATGTGTTCCTTACGTACCATAGCCGTACAACACCTTCTTGCTGAAACTAGTCGCGAAGAAATGATTTTAGAGGATGTACATGAATGGGCTCAAATAAGACATAAATACCTAGGTAGGTACCTATACTATATTATATTGACAATGGGAAGGAATTGTTACGTCTCCTATACGCTTGGGACTAAGATTAGTTTACAGATCCCTTTCGACACGCTACGGACCCCTTCAGGTCCAATTTCCAGCCTCTCATCCGGCAGGCTCTTAACCGGATGCCCCCAAGCTTTAACACCAGTCTTGTCCTTCCTGAAATTATGCTGGAAATATCTGGAGAGTTCAACAGCTTCAGCCCCCCGAGGGAGTACATCCCCATAAAATGTGCTGAGTAGGCGGTAGATGGCGGCGTCATCCGACGCATCGAGCTCCGTTATTAGCTTGCCCAGGAGGAGCGCATCACGCATCGCATGTATACCTCCTTCAGCCTTGAATGGCAGCATCAAGTGCACAGCATCGCCGAGCAGAATCGCCCTCCCAAGCGGTACCTCGTCGAGATGGCAGTCCGTTGGAACCCAGCCACCTTCCCGAATGCCTTCTGGGGCTGTCTCATGAATGAGGCGTCTGAATTTGGGATCCATGTGTGCGGTCATCTTCTTGGCGATTTCAAGACGTTCCTCCTGAGAAAGACTGTTGATCGCTGCGCGACCGGTGTGCTCAGCGAGAGGATCGTGCCACGCGATAACCCAGGAGAATTCTCCAGATTGGCCATCTGGCCATATCTTGGTGAGAGCCATGAATAGGTTGTTCCAGCCGTCTCCGCTGGTAACTGGTACGATGGCCATGCTATGTGCGATCTCCAGCTGACGCGCGAATAATTCACCGCTCAGCGTGGTCTCTCCAGTTATGGAGCTGAGCGGGACATTTCTCAACACCTCGCTATTAGGCTTCCCTAGTACATGCTCTCTTACTGCACACGTATTAAGACGATTTATTGCTATGGATTATTCACGGGGACAAAAGGGCTTACCAATGCTGTTTGCACCGTCGGCACCGATCAAGATGTCACCAACAGCGGTAGTACCGTTAGTAAAAGAGACCACCATTTTATCGCCTACCCTTTCGATATTTTTTGCAACCCTGCCATACTGGACGTTGATGCCGGTTGCTAGCCACTGCCGGAATCGTAGACGGTTAACGCGTAAAGTAGGAGTGGAAGGAGAGCCTTCCGTGCCGAGACGCTCATTATGGAAATAGAAAACGATTTGAGTTTCTAAGTTAAGAGGATTAAGATGATGAGCAGCGTCCCTTAGGTTGGGCATATCATCTGGGAATGCCTTGGACAGATCGTCTAAAATGCTGTACGATTTGGTAAACGATTCAGACATACGCAATTATGATAATTGGGAAGCTGATACTAACGTGTGCATTGTCAGAGACCAGCCCTGGGATCTAGCAACTACATGCTCGTCCCGCTCGAAGATCTCAAATGGTATTCCATTCTTCCGGAATACCTGGGCAAGGGTAAGGCCGCCAAGACCGGCGCCAACGATGAGAACCTTCGGCTTGTATCTAGCTTCCGACATACTTGGTTCTAATGTTTCTTTCATCTCCACGATAGTGGGTAACTTGTTCCTAGTAAAGACATGAAATAGGCCATCTCGGCTCAGATTAAAGTGGCAGACAGACCGTTTTTATGTACGAGGATCCCAGTAATAGCAAATGTGTTGCGATCCTTTAGCTGTTAGGGACGGAGTATCTCTCTACGCCAAGGTCCGGATCACACAACTGATATGTACTGAATAGGCAATATATAAGGCTTATTTTATACCTTATCAAGCGATGGTATCAAAAGACCGTAGCGCCACTAATTGAATCATATGCAAGGGATAGACAGGTTAGATTGGTTTAGGCCAATCCCACGATTCGGCCAGATACGCCTCAGCTTCGAATATAATTGACTTGGCTCGTATGAGCCAATTATATACGATTATCTGACCTGATCTGACTCTTGGAACTCGCTGGTTGTGTTTCTCCGTATTATACACGATTTGCTACCCATGTACCTAAATATAGCTCGATATAATATAGATTTTACTTTTTTGTTTTCACTTGGCAAATAGTAACCAACTTTAGGTGGGATTCTCCCTACTGGCTTGATACACATATACACATGTAGGTACTTAAGTATATACCTTGGTACATCTCACAATAATCCTTCGTAAGCCTACCTAGGTTAAGGCACTTAAGACATCGGGTTAACAAAATGTTTTCCAACCGAGGTACATCTCAACACGTGACCTTTAGTCACGTGTCATTCAAACATCTGGATGTATGTTGGGTGTTTATATAAAAAGTTTATTATAATAATTTGTAATTATATCAATTGTATAATATTAAACTTTGCTCTTTGAATTTAGCCGTTTTTGATATTTTAATCAAGATCGCTTTTTCCATGCTGTTTAATCTTAGCCCTTTACCCCAAGCATGAATCTGGCTCATCAACATAAGGCAATCTTTATATTGTCCTTCTTCATCTAGATAAAAGCGTGCAAATTGGCTCATTTTATACGCTCTCAAAACTTTCGGTTCAACCTCTGGTTCTAAACTAGTTTCACCGGTTACACCTGGTGCTGACCACATCAAATAGAATGTTACCGATGCTACTTGCACAAGGGCGCAGATAACACAGGGGTTGTCCATGGAGATCTTGTTCAATGCGTTCAATACAGACGAACCAGCACCAAGAAGCTGGTTATGCCCTACGTGTTCCTTTCCGTTAACTTTGAATTCCATAATCAAATATGGAAAGGCCATGCCCCAATAAGTTTGCTCAAGTTTTTCAGCTTTCGGTTTATCTGATAGGAGGGAGAGCTTTTTAATACTTTGAGCTCGATATCCAAAAGCTAAATCAGGCTTTGTAGTAACAGGACAGCAATATTCGCCGTTGGTACTTTGGCGAACAACATGATGACTTAACCATGGGACTCTTATGGAGTACATAACTCGACTCTCATCCTTCTGAGGCCAAAAGGCGTTGTAGTTAACTGCCAAATATTGACAGACATATGACTGTATTTGTTCTTCTGGGAAATCTGGAGAAACCATAGTTTTAATCCACGCAATATATTTAGCTGATTGTACCGATGCTGGAATAATATCTTCGGCAGGTTGCCGCAGTTGATCTATAAGCCCAGGACCCCAGGCTAGACGTATGTCACGGCTTGTCATCCATATACAGTTTGGCCTTAGATAATCTCGCTCATGGTTCTTGCTGGTGACTAAGCGCTCGACATATTTGCTCTGCATTGACTCTATATTGGAGTCAAGATTCGAGTCCGCATACGAGCGATTGGTCGGTTGAGAACCTCCCCCCTTTTTGAGTTCCTCGACGCATGATATAAGGGTTAGAAGTTGTGCTCGAAAAGATATGTGATCCTCTTGGACTCGGTAACATTAGGTTCAGATCTATTAGGATTGAAATGATGTGCTTTATCCGGTGGGCTATAGAGGATGCGGTTGAGGGTTCTGAGGGTTCTGAAGGTTTGCTTGAGCGTGTTTCCGAGAGTTCTTTCATCGGTACTCTCGAGGGTTCCCGTAAGGGCTTTATTAAAAGTTGGTTGTTATTGGTAAATAAAAATAATGAGATAGTAGCTTCAGTTGGTTGTGAAGATGCTCGCCTTCGGATAGTAGTTGGAGCTAATTGTGAAGATGGCCTATATAAATACATTTGTATGTATAAAGGCATATAGTAAAATTGATATATTTATTTAAACTTATAGCACTTGCGTAATTGTGAGAAATGTAAGATATGTAAATAATTAACAAGCCAGCTTTGTTAATATTATCTTTATGATTGATTATTAAAAATCCATGTAATAGCAATAACCCATTAACGCAACTAAACAAAAGTATTTTACTTACTTATTTGCATCAGAAATATTTGTATTAGGTTAGGTACGTAAAGGGTGTACCTGCTCTACATATCGTAGTTACTTCCAAGTTTCCTAGGAGATGAGGAAGGAACCTCCTTATATGTAGGGGGTACCTTCCCTAGAAACCAAAATTCTTGCTCGTTGCCTGGCTGATCTTGGCTGATCTTGCCGTTCCTTCCTGATTTTATTGATTTTACCTGACTGATTCTGCCAGGTTGATTCTGCCAGACTGATTACCGCCCTCCTAGAATTTCTATATAAACATAGCCACCTCGGCCCCAAACCAGAAACTTAATTTACCTTTCACCTTTCCCATTACATAACACAAAACCAACCACCACCATCATCATCCTACCTCATAGGTAACATCAAACCTCAACCCTTGACTATTCTTCATGACTATTAGTCACTATAAACATGTATTGTAATACCTATTATGATACATCTTTTCCTGTTCTTGTACTTCACCATATCACACTTCAAGGTTAGCCTTGACTGTCCCGACACTTGAGACAACTTACCTATACCTGCTTCATCTATTCATTATTACTTGTTAACCTCAAGTTATACAAATTACTTCAAAAAATATTGTTTTTATGGCTCAGCCTTCGCGTCTTCTCGGAAGCGCGTAAACAAATATTATCACGAATATTTCATGCCCTTGGTAACCCTAGCGCATCAAGGTGGTCGAGTCTCTCCTGGTCAATTTTTACGCCGCCTTACACTTGGAGGAGGAATTCCCAGAGGGAGATATTTCAACCGAGAGGACCTCCAGACAGAAGCGACCGACGAGCTAGACGCCACGGATCACTTCCTGGCCGAGTTCATGCTGACCGAGTTCCAGCGCTACGCGGATGAGTACACCAAACAGAAGGGCAGAAATAACTTCAATATGCAGTATCTTCAGACCTTAGCATGGCAACAGAACAAGTCAACAAAAATGGAACAATAACAACAACTTGAACAATACCAACAAATTCATTAACCTTCAATTCTGATCATCATACTCACTTAAAATCCTCTTCCCAAGTCGTCACCATCCCACTGGCTCCTAGCGTCACTTGTTATTGAGACCACAGCCACTGTATCACTCAACAACAGCATTCCGTTGATCTCTTTCCCCAGACCGCTCTACTACCATAGGAGGAAGTACCTGTCACAAGCTAGCGTTATACAGAACACCAGCGTCTGCGCGACTGCTAATGGCTCTTCTGTGCTGCGACTTCACCTCTTGCTTGTCAGTCAAGCGTGTCTCTGACACTGCATATTGCATAGCAACGTGATTTAATGTACGGAGGAAACCTCTTAGGGTAGTAGACTCGGTGGAGATTGAGTCAGAGGTCTGCATGCTTGATTGATGATTGCAGTGCTTGTTAATCGATATGCCTGTTGATCCTTGAGCGTGGTTGACTTGATGAAAACCAAGATAAGAGATAATATTTTGCGATGCTCCATGCATATTAAGGTAAGGCCCCCCAAATTCCCCTTGTTATTACGCTTCTGCCTCCCTACTTTCCTGCTTAATGGGTGCTGACTTTTCGCAGCCAGAGGATATGTGCACTTAATCCCCTGGTAGTGGACTGCAAGGCCCAGCAACTATTACAGCTGTTGCGCCGGGCTGTAAACAGGGAAGAGTCTATTGGCAGATACATAGTAAGTACATCACCAGCCTTGTAAGGTAATAATTATTGTAACTTTAACGCCACTAACCGCATGGGATATTTAAGCTAGGCCAGCCCTACAGAAACGGAGCAGAATAAAAACAGTTATCTACCTAGGCACCGAGGCACAATATTGCGAAGTATTATTGTAACAAAAGTCGCTACAGCAGGGCGGAGGGAACCGCAACGAGATGATGTCCACAACAGACTGGCCTCGGGCAAAGGAGAAGCAGGAGCAGGAGCAGAATGGGTAGAAGGGAAATTGAAGGCGGAAAGGCTATGGGAATAGTATCTTCACTCATTGGATTATGGGTTGCTTCAGGGATACTGGGGAGTTTATTAGTAGGTTAGTGCTATAAGAAGCAGTCCACGACATTTCTACCATAATAAATCAAGTCCGTACAACTTATACACCGTCCTTATGAGTTTTATAAGTGGAGTAATAGCACGGAAACTTATCGATTTTCAATACAATGAGCTTCTCTATTTCTACCTGGATACACTTGAGAGATAACTGGTACCTTTTGAGAGGGGCACAAGATATGGCTTACCATATTTTATGATATAATTATGAGGTATTAACTGGTAACAAGGACTGCATTTTGTTGCAAGCCAAGAATGCTTTAAAGAATCCCATATATAAAAAGACCAATACGCGGTATATATCTAGAGAGTAGATTTTGCCTTTCCAACTCTAAACTTCTTCTTTGCATCAAGAACCAGTATAACATGGCGGGCTAAGCAGAGCAATTCCATCTTCTCGTCACAAATTGTAACATCAAGATCCATCCTCCCCCCTTCTAACATCCGAGTCGCAGCCCTCGTAAAAGTCCACTTCACGCCATCTTCCGGTAGTCTTCGCTTGAACTCGATGTCCAGAGTGACGGTGTTGTTGAATATCGTGGCTTCCATGGCATCTTCGAACGTGTTGGTCAGCTCGGCGGGAACACCAGGATTTGAAATAGCCCATTGCTCGAGCTTTCTAAAGTTGCTTTGGGCGTCGTACGGGCCGCAATTCTGCAGAAGCGTGTCGGACATGGAGGGGATGCAGTCGGACATCAACGCTAGGTATGTAGCGTCCATTCGCTCCTGGCCTAGGAAGGTATTCCACGCGTCATAGATGTTTATTGGGAAGCCGTCTCGTGGATTCAGCACTAGCTGGCGGCGGGTGAGGGGGAGGAGGTCGCCGGCGACGTGGGCTGGGAGCCAATTCCCATCGGGACGGTGTGCTAGCACTGCGTCGAAATCCGGAGCCGGTTTGGGGGCTGGATGCAGACTCCAGGCTGTAGATGCTGTGGGACCGACAGACTTTTCGAAGTTAATGGATGTTGCTAGCGCAATGACTTTTATCTGCCCATTCTGCGAGAGGTGCAGCTGGATGGTGCTGGTGCCCGCACCGACCTTGAGATCATCGACCGAGATGGAGTTTTCGCATCGTTCGCAGGCGCGAAGGAACTCGAAGTGGATGGTGAAAACATCGGGCTGCTTCTGTGCCGCCAGCGTCGTGTTAAAATGGGTTGAGGCGGCAAGGTGGATGGCGGCGGCGATACTGCCGCCGTGGAGGACTGAGAGAGAACTGAGGTTAGTACTGTCCTCAGACGTTGCGGAGTAGCAGGTTCAACGGTACATACCAGGCCCGATAGTCCAGTCGGCATGGTGAGAAATAGTGTAGGAGTGCGAAGAGATCTGCTTGAGATCAATTTGGTGTTTGAGGGTATTTGTCATGATGATAATGAATGAATACTAAGACTCAAGAGGTATTCGAGGGTGAATAGGTATATAATTACGGATTATTCGGCATGTTGGTTTCGATGGTGGATGGAGGTACACCCAAGGCACGGGGCCAACGTTATCGACTCCCTTACTTCCGGATACAATATACCTTCCTACCTACGCATGTAGTAGAATACATCAAAGAATGACAAAGTAATAAGTGTTTCTTGGAATGATGTTGAATTGTTCCTTGTCTGCCCAGATGGTCTGTCTGTATACCTAATACCCTCAACTCGAGTATACTATCGCTATGAATTCGAGTAGCTTGATCATTCACCCTAGGCGTAATCCGACTGCTGCCTCTTCCTGAACTGTAACATTGGGCCACGTCGTATTGAAATATACGCGTCAGTCAGGTGGAATTGCTTGCTATCGCGTGCGCCCCATCCATATTCGGGTCTCCCTGACCCCAACGTAGAGCCCGGTTCCCTCCTGACATCAAACCGGTGAAGAGTCCGAGCGAGTATAATCATCATTTCCATCATTGCGAAGTTTTGTCCAAGGCATCTACCAGGTCCTCCAGCAAAAGGATGACTACTAGACCGCGCCCTATTCACGTCCTCCTCCGTTACGCCCGTAGCCTCGTCCACAATCCAGCGCTCAGGCCGAAACAATTCAGGGTCGCCGTAAACCTCCTGATTACGGGATAGTGCCCAGTTGGTTATACCGACAATGGTTCCCGGTGGGAAATACTCTCCTTGGATCTCGAGTCCTCCTGAAAGCACTTCTCGAGGAAGATCGCCAGGGACCGCCGGAGAAAGACGCATTCCCTCTTCAATGCACGCCCTTAAGTATACCAAAGAAGAAAGCTTAGGTCCGTATACAATATCATCGGGTGTTTCGAACTCGGTACGAATTTCCTGAACAAGCTTCTGGTAACGCCAGCTGTCGCCTGTTACGTAGAATAACATGCCAGAGAGGGCAACAGACGCGGTGTCGGACCCGGCAACAATTAATAGGTTGGCCTTCGCTCGGAGCTCGGCCTCCTTATACGCTGGAAGGCCAGTATCGGGGTTACGGGCTTCGCACAGGAAATAGAACATATCTTGGCGCTGCTCAACTTCTGTTTTCCCGGCCTGTTCCCGATGTAAGGCAATCCTCTCAGTGACGCTATCATAGACAAATTGTTTATATTGTCGGATAGGTGCTGGTGTCAACAACGCGAAAAGCTTGCCCAAACCCCTTGGCATCAGCCAAATAATGTGGTCACGAAAGGGAGAGCGGCTAATCTACAACCACCCAGCCGTCAGCACGGGCTTGATTCTAAAAGGGTGATTAATGTGAGGAACTTTACCGAATTACTTAATTTCAAATAATCAGCCATTTTGTGGTGTACGGTTTTCAGGGGGTTAGCGCCAGGCTCCTTAACATCGAGAGACTTCCCAAAGCTGAGGTCCCCCATGATATCGAAGACTAGACCACTAATCTTCTCCGAAATATCAACCGCGGGTGACCAAATAGAACCGTCCTTCTCAGTAAGAAGTTGGTTCCAACGGTCCAAGTGCCGGATGACGAAGCTTGACGCGGCGCGCACCGAATTCTCCGTGAAAGCGAGGCTAAGTAGCCTTCGTTTCCGCGCATGTTCGGCGACGTCGACTGCAGAAACCGTTGTAACTTCAGGGCCATGGAAGAGGCTATCCTTGTAGAAATTACTTCGCCGTACATTTGATTTCAGGCCGTATATATCCGCATAAGCTGCAGGGTTGTTGAAAAGGACTGCGTTTGGCTCCGGGCGTATCTTGTCACCATATATCTGAAACTGTTGCCATAGCCAGATGTGTCGGTCACCCCGAGTTGCGTGGTACCACGAGGGTATTTGACTTGCTCTGGCAAGGAATGGACCGGGGATGTTAGCCAGGGGATGAAAGAATAGGTTATATACGATATTTGCTAGGTACTATGTTCGTTCAGTCTGAGTTATTTCTTTGAGAGCTAGACACATACTACGAGAAGACTAATTACGAAAGCCGCTGCAAGCCATTCCATAAGGCTCATGTTGCGAAGAGACAGATTCAACATGGCGATAGGAGACCTAAGTACGAGTGGAAGTGTGTCGATTGAGGTTGTAAGTTGGATGAATAGTATGCAGTGGAGGGATCCCTATATTATATAAACGCATAACTACCTAGCTAATTAAGCAACATAAAGATCTCGCGTTATCATAGCCAGATCTATGACATCAAGTATATCACATATAAGACATAAATTCTTGTTAGCAATTACGGTGTTTTTATTTTGCCCTTTTTGCGACAAAGAAGGTCATCTCGCTGGCTTGTTGTGGCGTGCAACCTTATACATTAAGTATGTTATGTAACGTAACCTCAACTCAACCCTACGTTCGCAATATGGTACTGATGCTTAGAGGAGTGGCTTCTTAGTTCCAATCAGAGATCTCGACTGGCGATCTCCGTCATCCGCCACAGAAAAGCAAAAGGGAGAACTGCCAAGCGCTGGATGAGACAATTGAGATCTAAGATGCCTACCTATTAATTAAATGCATTTGAAACAAAGCTAGCAGCAATATGGAAACTTGTGAGGATATACTCATCAAGTGTTAGATGCGAATTAATAACCAACGGATAATAGAGGGCTAGCAAAGGTTGACATACACGATGCAATACCCTAAACAGGCTGCGAGACAGGTTGTTTGTCTAACAGATGCTCATTGTTTAAGGATTCTTCACTGCATACGGGCAAAAGTCGTAAGTAAGCTCTCTTATACAAACACCACCGAGTTACTACCCATCCTACCCATTTAAATATTGTAGTGACGTAGGAGCATCCCATCTTCATCCCTTGCGTAATCTCTCACCATGTTTGCTCTTATTTGCATCCACATAATTTACTTATATATAATACATAATCCTTTACCAATATATCTGTATAGTCCCGACCTTCCATATATAATCCCCTCTATATACATGCTGAGATAGTTGAGTACCTAAGTAGATATGTGCCCTATTCTGTTTAAACCCGTATCTTGCTCATCTATTATTATATGTCCAGATCCATATATACCTAGCCAGTACAAAAATGTGCAAATATGCATACATATAATTCACTGCCACGCAGAAGTTGGGGGTTGATTGGGATCGTGCATTGGCGTCTGATTCGCGTAGGCTGTCATCTGGGGTGCGTGGGCAATGAATCCGCCGTATTCTTGCATCAAGTAGTTCCAATCCATCTCGCCGCCGAAGTTTACGTCCGGGAACGCGGTCACGAATTGCCGGTTCATGTCCATCTGCGGCATGCCACCGCCGAATATGTCGGTTTCCGGGTATATAGGTAAAGCAGCACCTGGTACGCTCGGTTGTTCTGGTGGCGTCGGTGCCGTCGCAACGTAAGCACCGCTTATGACAGGGATCTTGGGCGAAGGCGTTGGTATCGGCGACTTCCTTTTAGTCGCCTTGGGTAGTCGAGCCGCAATTTGTCTCATGTACGTGATGAGGCGAGGCGGTGCTAGAGTACGTCCGAGAGCGGCTTCTGCAGCCTCGCGCGCGTCCCACGCCTTTACAAAGAGAGTGCTAAAGGATAGATGCATAGGACTACGCATGTGAGATGTCATCTTCCTCCGGTCAGCGTGCTCGCAGATGGTTTCCCATGCACGCTCGCATAAGTCACCGGTCGTACGATGGCGGAGCTCGGTAAGCAAGCATATATAAGCCGGGAATGGGAAATGCATATTAGTATACCAGAGGAAGCCCCGTAAACTTTCTCTTGCTTGCATCATGGTATCATACTCGACCATCTTAATTGCCTCGATGAAGAGTTGTTCCCTCTCGGCTGTCGGTAAGGGAGCAGGTGCCGTAAGTGCAACACGGAAGAAGCCGGATACTATCTTTAGCTTACAGATATTCGCTCGCGTCATGAGAAGAGTCATGTAATGAAGTGGGACTTTAGGGTCACAGTATTTCAGGTAGGTATCCTCCATATGGGAAGAAAATCGTTCGAGATAGCTCGACAACCGGTGGTCGGCAACGCTTGCAACCGCTTGGGGATTTGTTTCTGAAGACTGGCCCCTCATCTTGTCGTTTCCTGGCGCCTTGGCAAACTCGAGGCGCGAGAGAGAGAACATCATCTCAGTCGCACCGGTATACGGTGGAGGAGGGTCTTTCGCGTGTAAGTGTAAGTTGGCGTCGTCGATGTTGAGCGGTAATTTGCAGTTACCCCCATTGGATATAGCAGTGATGATGGAACCACATAGTTCTCCTATTCGTCGGTCAAATCCGGCGAGGTTCCACCATAGCCTTCTCCTCTCTTCCACTTCGAATGGCGATAGATTAAATTGAGCACCGTCACGATGCAAACCCATCCTTTGAGCAAGGCGCACCGCAATTCCTGTTAAGCAAAATAATGACCGGGGGTCCGAATATTGTCGGATACCCAGCTGATATACGTCAGACCTAGACCTCAAATAGACGAGGCGATTTTGATCTTACAAGATATAAAAGGTAAGCTTGCAGCAAGGTTAGATCCGGGTTGCGCATGAAGCCTGCGTTTAGGAGGGCTTGCTGTGTAGCATAATAATACTTGGCCAGCAAGTTGTTTCTCGATTCGTTAAACGTGGCCTGGCATTCTTCTTCACCTATACTTGTGATGGCCATTAGGTAGATTGAAAACATTAACGCCTCGAGGGACCTGGACACCTTTTCGAGGCTTGCTCCGGCTTCGATAATCCGCACTTGCAATGTTGGCGTATGCGTAAGCTTGAGAAGAGGATTAACATTATTGAGGTAGATCTGCCATAACTGGAATATTTGGATGGCGGATGGGTGTTGCGAGGTGACGCTTTCGAACTGACCGCCGACTACAAAAGGGAAGCCATCAGGGCTGTCAAACATCTTGTCGTATGCTTGATTGATGGATGACCCAACGTCTTCTTCATCGGATGAGTCTCTAATTGCTTCATCCGTTGCTCGAAACTGGGCCAATATTAGTATAGGGTGACAAAATAGGAAAGAGAAAACTGCTAGCCTCTTTCTGAAAAGGAAACCATTTGAAAGTCCTAGTGTTGTAAGCGGTTAATCAAGATACCGGATGGAATGTTCCTCGCCGATCTGAGGGCAGGTAGGCTTACCTAGGAACATGGGCGGTCTCGCCGGGTGATGAGATTAAGTCAGGGTCCACACCGGCTGGAGACTCCCTACTCCTCTGCCTTATAAACTCGGACTCCAGCTCGTCACCGTCTTCAACGGAGCCGGGGTCCACAATCTTGACGTCCGGACCCAGCGAATCAAATTCGATGCCGTTCTGAGCTAAGAGGGCTTCATATTTCCGCAGACGCTCAACCAAATCTCGCTCGGGGACGCGCTTCTTGCGGCGTCTAGGTGGTTGAGGTGGCACAACACGGCATTCGACATTTGCCTTTAGGCAATTGGAGCAGGGCTTGCTCTTGTCGCAACGTACCTTGCGCTGCTGGCATAACACACAGCTATGCCCTCTTGTAACCTTTATCATGGAGGCGTCTGGATTGGGGGGCGTATAGTTAACCGAGGAGCCCGCAGGCGGCGTGGGTTCATTGCTTGCCGAGCCATCACCAAGCTGGGACTCTGGGGTCGGGGGCATGGCGAACGGGGTTTCTTTTCCCTCTTCAGTCGGTCCCGAGGACGGGTTCTTACACCGCTAGCAATAAGCGTGCAGACAATTACCGACGAGCTAACGAGCTAACGATCAACAAAGCTCGACTAGGACTCGACTAGGTAACTAAAAAGTGACTCTGTTCTACATGGGACGAAAAGCCTCAAGACCGGGAGCGAGCATTGATTGGCAAGCAGGCGCAAGAACGATGGTATTGATGCGGGAATTTCGGGACCGAGAGGGGCACGGGCAATCAAGAGAAAAAGGATGACTGGAGATGTCGCGAACGGGCTCGTGCAGGGTCTTCAGCTGCTGTGTCGCTTCTGGAAATTAACAGATGAGACGGGGGGGTTAGAGATGAGAGAGGATGGGCAGACCAGACCAGACCATTCAACCCCATCTAGACTTCTCGACGAGAAGAAAGGAGGGGGGATAGATATGCAGGTCAAATCAAAGGGGAAAGATGTGTGCGTATTTTCGTTACAGTAGGACTTAAATTGTGACCTTACTATGTAAGAGGCGAAACCATCGAATTGTGTATTGAATTGTGCAGATAAGGGTGCAGATAATTGGGAATTGGGAATTGGGATATAAAGACCAGAACGGTTCTTGCAAGAGCTTGTAAGAGCTTGTTTAATTTTGTAGAGAAAGGGGGGTTTTCAAGATTCACTGTCCATTTGATCCCGGAGTGCAGCTATTACAGGTATGTTACGGATACAGTGGCTATTGTTTGCGCAGGTAGACGAAGATAGACCATGAGGATTCAAAGACGATTCAGGATAAGTATTTCTGGGTTATTCAGGTTATTCAGGGGTTTGGAGGGGGGAGGGGGGGATGTACAATAAGTCTGGGGGCAGTTAACAGAACATCCTTTGACAATATGTTAGGATGTTAGGATGTTAGGATGTTAGGATGTTTAGGTAGGATGTCATGTGGCGGATGAGGAAAACAATTTGAGCAAAGAAAAAAAAAAAAAAAAAAAAAAAAAAAGAAGAAGTTTCGCATCCTTCAAACCCAATCCATTCATTCATTCGATAGATACCCCCTCCATAATCAACGGCAGTAGGCAGTCCGACAGGGTTCAGCTCACAATTGAACCATGACGGAGCAGTTTCGAAATTGGCAGTAGCCTCGTATGTAAGTCTCGTAGATGTTAAGCACCGATCACCGACGAAGCTGAACGAGTTAGCAAACTAACATATCCAAAAACTCTTTGATAGGAGATTTGATAGGATAGAATAACCTGTTTGTCGGGGTTGTGGTCTGCAAATTGCAATTCTCGTTGTTAGCGTTGTTTAGCGCTCGGCGTTGAAATATCATCTTTCGGGACCGAGAACGCCGCTTGATCCTAAAATATGCAAGCCTGTTAGTTAGTGCATACATGTACAAATACATATGCCTTATGACATACTACATGTAGTTGTGACATTATGTATTCCGTACCTACATAACATAATAATACATGTTTAGTGTTTAGTTTAGCTCAGCTTTCTGTGCCATTCAGTATTACAGTCATTGTAGCACAGACCCACTTCGGACACATCGCCTCGGTCCTTACCTCCCCTTAAAAGTTCCGCCCGAAAAGCATAATAACTTTGTATCACGTGGCAGGTTACCTATCTTTTATGTTTATTTCTCCAGGTGATTTAAAGCTTCTCGGTTATATATACGCCAATTCGCTCCCGAACTGCGTCCCCGTCTCGGTGCTCCCCAATGCCCCGGTATAGAAAATGTCAGTAGGTAGGTACCTATCCACGAAGAAAAGATGTGGGTCTTCGTATATCCAACGTGTAAACCACTTGGTTGTCCGTCTATCTTATGCTGTCCGTCCTACTCGACAGCTTATGCCAGCCAGGGGGCTTGTTTTTCATCGCTTGTTTTTACGTAGTTAATGCTAGAGCATACCTACCTACATACCTACATATATAGGTAGGTATGCATTCCTTTTTATCCCTAGATTCAAGGTTTGCCTAACCTTGTGTTGTCTTGGACCAATTAGAAAAATAAGAGAGGACTACTTACTTGGATTCTCCCAGCTTCGCTTTTGTCCTTTCTCACATTCATCCCTTCTTTCTCCCCATCCTTGGACCCATCCTACATCTATCCTCTCGGAACTCCATGGCCGAACTGTCACGGAAGATATCCGGGGCGGGTGGCCCTTCAGTAGTAGCCATGCCTGACGATGTAGAGAAGACGACCGATGCTAAGCCGGCGCGGCCTGAACTTGTTGACGAAGCTGAGGAGAACTTCCAGCCAAAGACTTTGAAGTTCTGGTCTGTTATGGCCAGTATATATATTACTCTATTCTTAGTAGCTCTTGATCGGACCATTATCGGTACAGCGATCCCCCGGATAACACAAGAGTTCAATAGTTTAGGGGATATCGGTTGGTATGGCTCAGCGTATCAGTTAACAACCGCGGCGTCTCAGCTGGTATTCGGTAGAGTATACAGGTTTTACGATATAAAAAAGTATGTTCATAAACTCTTCTTAAAATAGAGACGCGCGACGTAGCTGACATCTATTTAACAAGGGTCTTCTTATTCGTTGTCGCGTTCTTCGAGATCGGTTCCGTCATTTGCGGCGCGGCTCCAAATTCGATTGCGTTTATTCTTGGCCGCGCTATCGCCGGCTTTGGCGCTGCAGGTATATTCACCGGTGTCTCCATCATCATGCTTCCCCTGGTACCTCTCCGAAAGCGGCCGATGTTTCAAGGGATCTTCGGGACTATCTTCGGAATCAGCTCGGTCATGGGTCCTCTCATAGGCGGTGCTTTCACTGATCGCGTTACTTGGAGGTACATTATTTTCTTGTTCTTTTTTCATCCGTTGGAATAAACTAACGTTGGCATGACTAGATGGTGTTTTTACATCAATCTTCCTATCGGTGGTGTTGCAGTATTATGTCTTCTAGCTGTGAAACTTCCGACGAGACCACCAGAGCCAGCAAAGTTCTGGGAACATTTCACTCGATTGGATCCTCTAGGGACATTCTTCTTTGTCCCGAGCATCGTTTGTCTCTTGCTCGCACTCCAATGGGGCGGATCTACGTATGAATGGAATAGTTGGCGCATCATCCTTCTGCTAGTTCTTTTTGGCGTCCTACTTCTCGCCTTCATGGCAGTTCAGGTGTTGATGCCAAATACTGCAACCATCCCCGTTAGAATCATCAGCCAACGTAGCGTTGCTGCTGCGGCTACTTTCATGTTCTGCGTTGCTGCATCGATGATGATGAGTGTTTACTACCTACCGTTGTGGTGTAAGTCACCCCCCTCCCCCAACCCAGATTCTCCGATAACATCGTATGCTTATATTAAACTACAGTTCAAACTGTACAAGGCGTGAGTGCTGTGCAGTCCGGTATTAACACGATACCCCTCGTCCTAAGTCTCGTCGTGTCCAGTATTATATCTGGTATCTTCACCCAGAAAGTCGGATACTATGTTCCCTCGATGTTAGTCTGCCCTATGATTATGGCTGTAGGGCAGGGCTTGATGAGCACCTTCAAAGTTGACGAAGATTCTCCTCACTGGATTGGATACCAGATCATTGTCGGGTTCGGGCTAGGCATGGGAATGCAAACGGCTGGCCTTTCTGCGCAGGCTGTGCTTCCCAAACCGGATATTCCGACTGGTATCGCTCTCATGTTCTTCTGCCAGCAATTAGGCGGAGCCGTCTTCGTGTCTGTTGGCCAGAACCTTTTGAGCAGTTACATTGTCGGACATGTGACTGATATCCCCGGCCTTGATCCTAAGAAAATTACCAACGAAGGTGCCACAGATCTTGTCAACAAGGTCCCGCCTGAGTATAAACTTCAAGTAAAAGAACTTTACAACGGGGCCATCTCAAGGATATTCCTATGCGGCATGGGTGTGGCGCTTGTCGCCTTGGTAGCGGCTCTTTTCATGGAATGGAAGAATATCAAGAAGACTGGGCCGAAAGGTCCACCAGGAGCGAGGCCCTCCGAATCGAAGGAGAATGATTCGACTTCTGCAGCGGAGGAACAGCGAAAATCCACTTCACAGGACGCAACAGTGAACCCGCTGCGACATTCAATTCAACTAGACGGAGACAAGCGAAAATCCAGCGATTCATATCATCAATCCCAGGCATCAGGCCTCCCTAAAGTTGTTCCCGAGGGGCAAGTTAACCGCTTAGAAGATTGAAGATTTTTTGAAATAGAAAGAAAGAAATAATAAACAGGGCGTTATAGACGAAACTGTTATAATAATAATGAGCCTGGACCTGTCTAAATGCTGATATATTGGTTGTGATATAGCTGAACAGGTCGGGCTAGAATTGGATGGGAATAAATGGATAATTGGATACTACTCCGGAAGTATACCTTATATATAGCAATAGTATTGTTAGAATTAGCTTAACTAGATAGATCGTAATAATAGTTAATAAGTCTTGAACTTGGAAAGATGTAATAAAGTTAAATTGTGTAAAAGGCGCCACGTCTGACGTTGTAAGCTTATTTGCTTCGTGCGGTAGCATTTTCTTATCCTTCGGTATAAAGGTATTACGTGGGTTCATGGGTTGGGATCGGGTGGATACTTGCGGTATGATATGCTTTGCTGCTTGCACGATCTTCAATGCTACCTAGGTACTATTTAGGTAATCTATTAATGAATAGCCTGGTCTAAAAATAGATGACTATTGTTGATGCTTAGTCAAATACCCCCTAAGTCTTGGCGCAGTCCTTACAGTATAACACAGCGAGCATCTGGAACCAAGCTTGCAAGTTTATCTGTGCTGTCTGTCACTTTACATAATAATAACAAATTTAACCCTGATCTTTTAATCAGACACTACTACGTCTACGTACAGATCTCCAGTTACTTCCGTCGTTTAATCCGTATTAATATTCCCGTTGTTTTCACCTTGTTTTCAGCTACATTATTGACATCATGATTAAAGCCCTGAGACTTAGGTTTTCTCCGCAAACTTCGGATTGGTCGATTGTTTAATACGAGATGATCATTCCCCAGTTTACACACCTTTGTACAGTTGGTTTACATGGGGGTAGACAAGGAAAAAAAGATTCGTTCAGGGGTCGCTAATCTGAGTGCTAGCGACGTTCCGTAGCGGGCCGTGATGGCATCCATATAAGCCCGTTATCTGCGAGAGATGCATTTCCAGATCGTTCATGGTTAGGCTCCGTCCTTCCATAAGATAAGTTGTTAATGGAGCCTTGATGCCTGGTCTCGATGTGGGTTTTAGGTAGTAATGGTCTTGTCTGCCTATGGATCGTTCCATTAAGATTCCTTCGCTACCATTAATGGCCTTGTCCCTGACCAGCTGAACTCTAGATGGACGAGCCAACCTTTCCGCGGCCGTAAAGGCTGATTCCATTTATTTCCATTTATTTCTTCTGGAAACCTTTAAATACGGCTGTCGAAGAAGCTGCATTTGTAGGGACATGGATCCTCTCTTTAAAGAGTACGCACTATGGCGTACGCACCAGTCAAATCTAGCTGAACTATCTAACCTGTTTGTCGTCATCATGTTTATTATCGAACTAGGTTTTATAATTCCAAATAAGTTGATGGGAAAGAGCGGGAGCAACCGAGGAAGACAACTATACATGCATCATTAGATATATCATTAGACTAAGACAGACTAGAGTACATGCTCACGCAGAGGTCGGATAGAAACATCCGGGTTTACTATTTTCGACATCTATTTTATAGTTTAGCTTGTCGTAGTTAGTTAGTACATATAAACTCACGTAAGGGTATAAGTCGGATGATAATATCGGTTGATAATATATCGGTTGAGATACGCAGGTATTAGTCGCTTGCTTCGGGTAGAAGCTCTCATGTAGTTTGAACATTATTGGATATCAGGTATGAGTAAACTAGCAACCTCTCATGTCTATTGGCTATTGCAAACCACCATACGGGCTTACTACGGGGCTAGCATGGCATTCTACCTGTCATAAGGTGCCAAGCTGCCCTCCAGCCCCAGCACTACATAGTATACCAACCCGCACCTCATGCAGCTCTTTGCCGGTTGCTTGGTAAGGCTGGAGATAAAAATGGAACGGCTACACCAATCCCGCCAGATCAGACCCCGATATACTTAGTCAGGATGGGACCCCCTTATGTTACCTTGCAATTCGAGGTAAACTAGCTGAGTTAGTACTTCGCGGCACGCCATCATGTTATTTTTGCAAAAGTCTCTATTTGTTATCCCGAAGTGGAAATTCTGGGCAAAAGAACTGTACGGGACGGGATTAGGTAGTTCAGGCAAGGGGAGGGCATACGATCGGCGCACAGGACCGGATATGAATGGGGATAGCTCGGTACTTTCTGCTGCCTGCGCCATCGGGATGAAATACGTGATTCCGTATCATCAGACCAGCATAATGAGTATGGAAATTCCATACTCTCGCAAGTGAGATTGGCTATTCGCAGGAAATAAGGGGAGGCTTATAATATAAAATGCGGTAACACGTATAATAATAAATACGACTAAACGCTCTCGCATTCGTCCCTTCGGTGGTCTATTATATGCATAGTACCAATTAACAAACAAATTCAACAAAGTTGCTCAGGATCATTGGCACCCAAAATTGTCACCCTCCAAGTTCAAAAAAGCAAAAAAAAGGAGGATTACACAACCGCATACTCTATTAATCTGTATTATTCGATATATTACCATAAGCTGCCATTGACTATGGAGCCTACCAAGAAACTCCAATGGGAAACAAGTCCAACCCCCTCCGGCGACGACATGATCGACCCGGCGCTGTCATTAGACAGTACATCGACAGTGTCAACATCAACCAAGCGCAAGAGAGCAAGCAAGCCCAAGGTTCGAACAGGTTGTATTACTTGGTTAGTCTATCGACCTTGATATGATTCTTGATCATCTGCTAACTTATACCGTTCAGCAAGTAAGTTTGTTCATTATATTAACTGGGTACATATCGAACGAAGACTCTCTCTTGTCTGTGTCTCGCTTCGATACTAATTCTGGGTACTTCTATTGCACTTAGTATACCTACCTACCTACCTACCTACCTACCTATATCTTACATTTTACATCCATTTATACCAAATATGACCCCAAAGCTATTAGAAACTAAGCTAACTATCTCGTAACAACACAGGATACGGCGCGTAAAATGCGACGAGACCAAACCCGCGTGTACGCGGTGCACGAGCACGGGACGTAAATGTGACGGGTACGACGGTGCGCCGCCACCACGGCCGAAGAAGCCAGCATCGTCCTCGCCAGACCAGCTAGCAACTCCTTTTCCCACGCCGACCACCGCAACGGACGGGTATCTAGGGGCGCGAAACAGCTTCGCCGCCGCGTACCGGGGAAACTCCGCGTTGCAGATCCTCCGCCCGCTGGCCGCCGACATCCAAGGCACGGAGGAGGAGCGCTTGTACTTCCACCGGTTCCGGCAAGCGGCGGAGGCCGGGCTAGCCCTGCACACGTCTAGCCTCGGGGCGTCGTTTTGGCGTCGCTTGGTGCCGCAGGTAGGGCATTCGGACCCGGCGGTGCGGCACGCGCTGATTGCGCTGGGAGCCGCGCACGAAAGCATGCAGCTGCAGCGGGGACAGAGCTACCAAACGATGAAAACGAAACACCCAGCACCGCGGATATCCTCGCGGAGCGGCAGTCCGGCCGAACGATCACGCGCTTCGACGCCACCGCCCGAGGACACCTACCAGTGCGCGGACCAGTTGGAATTGTTCATGATCCAGCAGTACAACCTATCGATCTACCACCTGCAACGACACGTGCAGCCGGGGTCGCCACCCGAGAGCGTCGAAACCACACTCATATGCTGTCTAATATTCGTCTGCATCGAGACGTCCCGCGGCAACGAGGCCGCGGCGTTGGCGCACGTTGCTAACGGCCTACAGATCATCAAGGCTTTGCCGCCAGATTCCGAATTTGCGAGTCCTTCGTCGAGTTCCACCAGCAGACCCAACAACGGAAGCAGAACCAGCAGTAATCAGGGGTATAGTGACGGCGGTGCTGGCGGTGGTACGGCTAGTGGCCTCCCGCCGCGAATATCACGTTCTGACTGGCGACAGCTTCTCGATTTCTTTCTTACACTCGAACCTAGCACCGCAACGAATGAATTCAGCAGCAGCCAGCCAGCAAGTCCGTCATGGCCGCCTACTGCCACCTGGGAGAATCCGCCGGAGTGGTATAGTGAGATGATATCGCAGTGGGAAACTGAGGCGGCCGAGGGAGAAATGAGGCCTTGAATCTTGATACCAGCAATAATCTAGTCAATAAAAAAAATCTACTAATATGATAAACTAATTGCTACAACTGGCTCTGGGGCATTGATCAGTGTGGCTTTTTAAATGCTAGAAAAAGCATTTTCCTGGCATAGGCGAACTTGTATCTGTATCAAGAAAGAAGATCCATCTTAAGGGCTGTAAAACCATGGGTAAGAATTTCGATTTGTATCAATCAGTCTTGGCGTAATCCAATGATACACTCCCTTAAGGCTCCCAATCATCAACACATTAGTAACGGATCTGCTCCAATGTAAAAGCTAGCGAGGCTATCTGGGGAAGCCATCGCAGACAACGCCGTGTAAGTGTAAGCGAAATAGGGCTATATCCCTTTCCTTAAGTCAAAAAACTCCCCATCCCGGCCGCACTCAAAGGGTATCTTGCCAACAGGGGAAAAACAAAAGCATTAACAAAGGTTCTTAAACCCTTCAAAAACCCACATGCTGCCTCGTCCTAAAACCCGATCATAATCGACCATTCACGATCTCTTTCTCAAAGATCCGAATACCGAAGATGTCATAGAATGAGAAAGGCTCAACAAGTTCTAGTTTCACTCTTAATAGTGGGTCATCGTCATCGTCCTCATCGCTCTCGCTCGTAGCACCCCATTCTACAGGTGCGATTGGGAAGAGTCCGTTACCAACATAGTCTTGATTTGAGCTTGGGACAGGTTTCTTGTCTTTATTCGAGCTGGCTTTTGACTTCCTAGGGACTCCTGATTTCCGGACAATTCTTACGGCTCGTTCGTCGTCACCTAGTGCAAGCCACTCGAGTTTCAGCTCAGGGTGGAAAGAAAGAGCGTCAACTATGAAACGGCGCGTCTCGCGCATGACAGAAAGGCAAGTGTCCTCTGTTCTGAAAGAGATGAGCTGTAGTGCACGGAGATTAGTAAGGCCAGCGATACGCTGAATTAAAGTATGCTATATGTTGTTAGCCACAATTGTATAAAGGTATTGTTACGTATTAACGTATAGGGGAAGTGATGCTTACAATTGCACGCATTCCCATTATCACGGCCAGTTCTTCAAGCACTTTTCCACGCCTGCAGATGTGCTGCATTGTTTTCTCATCCACATCCCATGAACTATCAGCTTGGTTCTTGATCATGAGACGTTTGAGAGAATGCATATCTATAACATAAAGTTAGCAATTTTCTAACAAGGGTCTTGAACAAACTCAAGAGATGAACCGTAGGTAGGAAGTAAAATGACTCTGAATGGTACGTACGCTTCTTCAGAACAAAATTCCGGATTTGTTCGATAGTCGTGCCAGGGTTCGGCGCGAAACTCTCTGGCTTATACTTTGGCGACCGCTGAAGCATGAATACCTCCTTAACACAGTCGAGCTGAGAAATAAGGTGTAAGAACTGCAGGCAGACATCATCTGTAAAGACTTTTCGTAATGGAAGCGGCCTCAGGCTATTTTCTTTCATCATCATTACCCAAAATTTCTTTTGCTCGCCCACGTTGAGCAAAGTAATCCGCTTTAGTGAATGCAAATCTATAGCCTTCCCTAGCACCGAAGCCTTGATTGGTATAAGATGGATGCTGAGAGAGTGGAGTCCGATGCCTCTCGTATCTCGGGCATATTTATTCACGTTGCTAAGATGCGTCTCCGTCCCGTTCGTGGTTAAACTGTCTGTTTGAACTGCGTTATCGCAAGCTACGTCTTCTACATCGCAACCGGTACATTCTAAGTGCTGTCGAGATTTATCCTGGCGATCATCGTCGACGCCGCAAATAGCTATACGTGTCTCCTTGGAGAATCTGTTAGCATAATCCTCCCGTTCAGTTTCCACATTGCGTATGTCTTCGGTATTGGGGACTCGGACGACATCGTTCGGTTCTGTTGCATTGGAAGGAATAGTGCTCACTTCTGTCGGGTTAAATAGTTCCTTTGGTGGTACTGTGTCGATAGACGCTATTTCAACAATCCGTTGAAACTCAGCTGTCAATTGCTCCTCCGGAATTTCGATATCGATATCTTCTGGGTTAGCATCGTATGTGTCCTTTGGTAATGATGGAAGTGGCTTGAGTCCAAAATTAAGTGACTGGGACTGGGACTGGGACTCATCTGGCTTGTCTATGTCAAGCCCTAATTCATGGTCTTTAGGCAACGAATGTAGCCCATCGTTAGTGGGTAGATCGCCAGACGAGGGACCAGATTTGGATTTGGATTCCTCCGAAGTTACATATTTCTTTGCGGCTTTCGCGATTGCATCTAAAGCATCTTGTTGCTCAACAGATGTAAAACCGCTAGTACCGTTAACATGCGCCACCATACGCTCGAAGACTCTGTTAACATGATCTATGAAATTTTGTCCGTTATCCGAAACTGGCTGTTCCTCATAATCCTCCTTTTTCGTAGTTTCTTTCTTGTCTTCGGTGGATGAGCGAGTATTCTTTGTGTGCGATGGCTCTACCTCGAATATGCGGCCTAGCACCAATTCCTGAAGCTTACGTTCTTCCTGCGCTTGAAATGCCTTTGCAGGTCCGTTGTCATCGTAATTAGCGCTTAAAGATATGGGCATAACTTGAAATTCGTCGTCTTCGGACTCATCGAGCTCTGCGTCAGTGCAAGGTTTTCTTGCTTGCATAGCAAGGCTATCTGAAAACGAAAGCTTCACCTTTCTCAACGTCGATGAAGAATTACGTACGCAAACTTGAACCTCCGTTATCACGTCAAGGCTATCTATATCAAGAACGCTCAAACTTTCAAGGTTTCTGAAACCTTCGATTGTCAGGGGTTCCTTGGCGGTAGATGGTTTCTTTAGGGGTTTATTCCTCCAAGAGGGTTTGTAGCCCAGGGACAATGAGGATGTGGCCGGAGGGGGCCCATAAGCGACCACAGGGTCGAGTAGGGTACTGTTCGAATTGGTCCATTGAGAGACTGGCATGACCATAGCATCATACTCAGAATGCTGCACATTAGAGTCCGAAAAAGGCGGTGGAATCTGATGGATGGAGCTTCCGGCCTGTAAGCGCAAATGAAGATGTCTTAGCGACTTGATGTTATGCAGTGCTTTATAAACAGGCCTACTAAGCTCAACTCTAATGTTCCATCGAAAGGTATCAAGTGACTGGGCTTTCCGCAGCGTAAGAAGTAACAGGGTGTTCATGAACTTCCCGCAGCTCACAGAAGCGAGGTACGGTTTATAGGCAAGTTCAGCCCTGTCACCAATACTAAGGGTGTCGAGAGAGAGCTCCCTTAAGTGCTTCGCATAGTTGTAATCGCTTGCGACGAACGTCTCTAGACCGCCCGCGAGACCATCAATGGGGGAATCGAAATACGGATCGTCCTCGTCCGGGAAGACGATGTGGAAATTACGATATAGTTGGGCGGCGGCAAGATCGCGGAAGCGCCTGCAGACTAGGGAAAGACGAATCCAATCGGATTGGAAGCACTAACAACATGCCTATTAGCAATGTATTCCACGAGTAAGGAGTATATATCATTGTGATCCGCAAATACATGTAGGGGTTAGAACATACTTGGCTACATATTTCCTTCAAAATCTCATCAGGTAAATCCAGAATATTGGATGCCTTGGGAGCTGCTGGTGGAACAGAAATACTGGTGTTGAGTGCCATGGCGGTGGCTGCTTCGTGAGCCAACTCGTTATCTTTGGCTAGACAACAATTCTAGTGTAAATGACAAGTAGAAAAGCGTCTAGATCCGCCAATGTCCTGGTATCGGTGTTAGGCCCTATAACGACTCTTATCGAAAATGTTGCCGGAAGACTTGAGGACCAAATCGACTATTATACCGCAATAGCACTTAACACCTAACACATCGATCGAATAGCCTTAAGGAAAGTTAGCCATCGAAATGATATCCGGAGCGAATGTTCGTGGTTTAGAATAGAGATTGCCGTAGAGTTATGTGCAATATGCTGACTTGAGGGTCTTTGAAGCGCGAGTATGCGAAGGGGAGATGGAGGGGCAAAAACAGGTACTTAGTACATGTATCTAGCAAGGATGTGAAGAATGTATGGTATATGTACCTCATATGTGGAACTCGTACACTAGTGCCAAATAGTATTAGCCTTCTGCTGCTAAGTTGTCCGGGCTGTTAAGGCGTTTTGTTTTAGGTTCCGGAGGTATGTTAGTGTTGCTTGTATGCATATTTAGCAATGAGGGGCCGAAGGATCGTCACTCCCCGCTCGCAGGGCTGTGTTAGCTCTTATGTTTTGCTGCTGTTTGCCTGCTGCGCCTCGATTATCATGAAACCTTCAACTCTTCCAAGTATCATTACAACTTTCGCTATGTATTTGATTTCCCCTCCTCCATTTCCATTCTTTCAATCGAGTATACATGAGTGGCCTTGTGTAGATTTATAATTCTTCCATCTTTTTCCTACATGGTTTCAGCTCCAATCAGCTCTCGTTTTTTAATATAACTAGTTATACCTTATATATATATTTACTAGCCGAGGCCAGTACAATCTGGTTAACTAATTGATGTTATATCCCGTTCAAACAAATCATTTGAAAGCATCCCACATCGATAGCTTTCGATATGGCTGAAGTCGAAGAGCCTAAGTTCAATTCTCTTGCTGATCGGATCGCAGCTCTGAACGGCCAGAAGAACTTCACTGCTCCTCCCTCTACTAAACGACCTCCTCCCCCACCACCTCCCGGTACCAGAAAGTCCACATCTCAAGCTCCAATTCCAAATGGGAATGGAATCGCCCGTCCGCAAATTCCGCAAAACCCTAGCCTACCTCCACGACCGCAAAAGCAAACCCCACCCAGTCTACCCCAACGAACTAATGCATCGGAGTCGATAGCAGAAACTCCTTCAAGCCTCTCAGGGCGCGATGCGCCGCCACCGCTCCCGAATCGTCGAAGCTCTACTCAACCATCGCCAGCTTTACCTACCCGTAGACCCTCGGCGCAACCATTGCATAACAGGAGAGGCTCCAACTCCTCCGAAGCATCCCATATCTCAACCATTTCGACTCTATCGTTGAACCCCGTTTCCTCTCGCACAAGTACAACGTCGACCGAAATACAACCTG